TCAGAATTTTGAATTTTTATTATAAAAAAAATAATGACGTGGCCGAATTATAATTGGCCACGTGTAAAAAATGGTTTTGCAAAACCACCGTTAAAAAATAATGGCATGAATGAGCCTTTTCTTAAACGGTAATGGCATAGATGAGCCAAACTTTTAACAGATGGCATAAATGAGCATTTTCTGAAAGTTCGATGGCATATTTGGGCCTTTTCCCTTTTATGAATTAAAATTTTACCTTTTACTTGAGCACTAAAGATATTTACTTACACAAAGTATATTCTTTTATTCATTATATAAATGACTTAGATATACCTTTTTGGTCTAACCAAGTGAAAAAATAATTTTAAATTAATTTGTTATATGAAAATTCCATATAAGGATATATTTGATTCATTTTACATAGGAATATTTTTATTGAATTTTTTAATTCAACGGCTAATTTAAGTTTTAAATATCTCTCTTATAAATCTATTTGTTTATCATTATTTGAGTTTCTTATTCTTATTCATTTTTGTGTGTGTGTGCGGGCGTGTGTGTGTAAATAAATAGATATGAAAAAAGAAGAAGAAAATAAGTTGTATTTAGTTTTTTGAGTGTATCATAATGTATAGCTCGTGTATAAGTAAATTATATTGTATACTACTATCTATGACTTTTATCAAACTATATTGCATAGTCAATATTGTATATTTTATATGAAATTTGGTTGATAAAACATGGCTATATTTGTTGTAAACTTAATTACTTTATTGTATATATTTGAAACTACCAAAAAAAGAATATAATGTGTTTGAGATACTAAAAAACTTTTTAAAATATTAAACGAGATTATATGATTTTTTTTTAAGGGAAAATTACTTGGATGAGTACCTTATTAATAAATAATTAGTGATTTTAGCGATATTATTTATTTATTATCATTTATAGCAATACTATGATAAATCTATAATATGTATTAAAAGTGAATTGTGTGTGCAATATATATGTTTTGTAACTATTTTCTTAAATATATTATACTTGTTTGGTAAGAAATTGACACATCGTATTATAATTGTATTAAAATGTGTGATAAATGTATTATTCATCAATAAAACTTGTATTATATGTGCTCTATAAATTGTTCTCTGTGATATGTATTAAAATTGTATTATAAATATATTAAAAATGATCAAGTAAAAAAAATGTTATTACTATAAATGATAAATATTTTATTAATATAATATATTTATGTAAGTTTCCTATTTTTATGTATATATTTGGCTCTTTTAAAATATATAAATGTGTCGAAGAACTTTTGGCTTCTCCACGTATGACCTAGTGTTTTCTTCCTGCAACAAAATACAATAAAGTTTGATACTTCAACTTTTGCAGGTTTCTTGTCCCAATCTGACTGAGCTATACATCCAAAACCTTGAAAGGATTAGTGCTCTATGCTCTCACCAACTTCCAACTGCCTACTTCACCAAACTTGAATCATTGACGGTATTTGAATGTGAGAAATTGAGAAATCTGATGTCTCCATCAGTGGCTAGAGGTGCTCTGAATTTACAGAATCTACATATAAAAGATTGTCAATCAATGGAAAAAGTGATCATAGAAGAGAAAGAACAAGGAGAAGGAATCATGACCTTATTTCCTCGACTGGAAGTGTTGAAGCTTTGCAAGCTGCCTAAGTTGGGGCATTTCTTTCTGACGGAGTGTACTTTTGAATTTCCATTTCTCAGAGAAGTGATGATTATTGATTGTCCTGAAATGAATACGTTTGTCCAACATGGAATATTTATGAGTACACCGAGTCTCGAAAGTGTGAACAATGATGATGATGTGAAAGCAGTTGATCTCAATAAAGTCATGTTCAATTCTAAGATTTGTCTTGTACCTCTAGTTGTATAACTAACCAGTAAACTCATCCCACACTAATTAATTGGATTTTCTATTGTTCAAAAAATATTATTTTAAGTATTCAAATTTTAACCAGTGATATTATTTTAGTTTTCAAATCCTCATCATCCAAGTGTTTTTAAATCTTCTAAAATACTTGATTTTTATATAATATATTTATTGTAAGTAAAAACAATAATTTATTTTTCTTACTAGGAATAATAGAAAGAAAAAAATTCAATAAAACTTGATTTCCTTCCGTTCATTTTAATAAATTTCTAAACTAAATTATTTATTTATATATTTAATACAAATCTATCTCGTATGCACTTTTCTCTTATTTCATTCTTTTACTTTCTCTTTAAATTCTTTTATTTTTACTCGTTTCCTTTTTCAGCGTTTCTTTTCTTATTTTCCTACCTCTTCATTTTCGTTTTTTTTTTTTTTGAAAATCAAATCACGTTTTCTTCTTCTTCTGATTCCCTAATAATAATAATAATAATTACTTAGTGATTTATGCAGTAACTATTCAATTTAATTAGAGAGTATTAATAGAATCCTCAATTAAAATATGAAAATCATACAATTTAATTGAAGAATAAATCATTAACGATATGAATCATTAAGAACCAACACAATATTATATATTAATTTTTTTTAAACAATTATCATCAAGCTAAACATTTTTTCTCAAAATCGATATATAGCAAAGAATCAACAAATGATTCTTCTTACTTTTGACACTCCAATTTATATGTTACAATCACATTGACACTGATATAGTAAAGATACATAATTTTTCCCCCTCCCTTCTTAATAATATTACTAGTGTACTTGTAAAGAAATTATTAAATATATGTTAAAATAATTAATGTCACTATTTGATAAATATTCTTATAAATTATATAATAAAAGAGAGAAATACAAATTAAGTTACCTGATATTATCTTTAGAATTCAGAAAAACTGCTAAAAAAATCTCATGCGACATTTTCAATTTAAAATAACTGATAAAAAAGATGAAAACATAAAAGTTGATATGAAAAGTTTCAGCCAAGTAACAGTCGTCTAATTATCATAGTTTCATACTAAATTCAATGATTCTTATACCAATAATATTAAATATACTCGATCATAAATTACGTGACTTTTTTGTATAAATGACTACATAATAAAAATATACAAAATAAAATATATTTGTGCTAAATCATAGTGAGAAAAAAATATTTGAATTATATTCGAACATACTTATGCACAAAATTCAAAAGTAAAAGAGATTTTTTTTCCCGATATTCGATGCTCGTACTGGCATTCATATAATACATATTTATGTCGCATAAGATCCATTAACATTAAATTTTTATATTTAAACTTTCATTCTTATAGTATGCATTGCGAGAAGAAAGAATTAAGTTGCTATAGTGAAATATTGTTGTTGACGTTTTACTTTTACAATAAAATTAAACACATAATTTAATCGTATAGAGATGATTAAAGAGTGCCATAGAATTTATTTTTTTTAAAAAAAAATATGTGTATGCAGCATTGAAGATGTAGAAAAAGTACTAAAAGACGGATGTGAGAAAAATAAAAGAAATGTTTTTTTACTTTCAATAACAATTAATAAATCTGATGCACATTAATCATATATTCACATTTATTATGGTAAAAAGGGGGGGAAATATGACTCTTTGTTATCCTTATTCACACCTCATTTACGCGGCTAGAAAGAAGCTTAGCTTATATATATGACTTTTCTTCAATACTTTAAAAATTGTGATCTTAAAATTATATAACAAATTGAAATAAAGAGAGTAAATGAAATAATTACTTAATTTTGACTGTCGACATCTTCTTTTTTTGCTTCTAAAGCCTTTAAAAATACATGAAAAGTGATGAAGACAAAAATAAATTATTACCAGCCACAAAAAAATCACTTGACTATATTAGAAAGTAAAAAAAAAAGAAAGAAGGGTTATAGCATTAATATAGCATTCTACTATTAAGAAACGCATATACAACCATGAACAAAAGAAAGAAAGCATCAATAGTGTATATATATATATATATATCATGTAAAGAGAAAATCCAAAGAAGATGAAGAAAGAATTTGAATTGATATGAATCTAAAAAAAAAAAAGCAAAATAAATCATGTAAAGAGAAAATCCAAAGAAGAAGAAAATGACTGATAGATAACTTAATAATTTGATTATGTGAGCATAGATTTAAAGGGGAGCTAGATGATTCTTTAGGAACTATTAAATTAAATGGCATGAATAAAAATATGTTAACTATAGGTTTTGCCGTTTTGCACATGTATATTCCAATCTTATATTTGTCAATTGTCATATAGGCTCTCTTTTTTTATTATTAATATAAATTAATTACAATTATGGGAGAAGTTACATGGAAAAAAAAATCCTGAGGGAAGAGGTAAAGCTGAACAATTAACTATCAGATTATTTTTTTTGTTTTGTTATTGTTAACATAACTTGAAGAAGATATATTATAGTGAGAGGTTAAAAGTTGAGTAATTAAATGTTAGATTTTTTGAAATATTAAAAATAAAATAAGTAAATAAATGAAGGGAAAAAAAGGGTCAAAAAATGGAGAAAAAAGATAAATATAAATAAAGCTTGTAAGAGAGGTGTTACATCAGCTTGTCCTGTTAATTTATTAAATTTTTCTTTGTCATGTTAAAAATTAAACAACTTATCCACTCGTGTTTAAGCACTTTTGGCTTTTCAACTTATGACCTAGTGTTAATTGGCTTATGGTTTGATACTTGAACGTTTGCAGGTTTCTTGTCCCAGCTTGAAAAACCTATCTATCATTAGGGCTAACAGCATAACTTCTCTATTCTCTCGCCAACTTCCAATTGCGCCATACTTCAGCAAACTTGAAAAATTTGAAGTAAAGAGCTGTGGAAAATTGAGAAGCTTGATGTCTCTAACAGTAGCCAGAGGTGTTTTGAATCTCCGAATACTAAAGATAGATGGTTGTGAATCAATGGAAGAAGTGATCACAAAAGAGGAACAACAACAAGGAGATGGAATAATGAACTTATTTCCCTTGTTGGAAGAGCTGGAGCTTTGCAGGTTGCCTAAGCTGGGGCATTTCTTTCTGACGGAGTGTACTCTCGAATTTCCATTTCTCAGAGAAGTGAAGATTGATGACTGCCCTGAAATGAATACGTTTCCCCAACAAAGAATATCCGTCAGTACACCGTGTCTCGAAAGTGTGAACAATGATTATGAGGTGAAAGTAGTTGGATTTGTACTTTTAAGCTATACTGAACATTTGCAGGTTTCTTGTCCCAGCTTGGAAAAGCTATCTATCTCTAGTGCTGACAGCATAAGTTCTCTATTCTCTCACCAACTTCCATACTTCAGCAAACTTCAAACATTGGAAGTAGAGAATTGTGTAAAATTAAGAAACTTGATGTCTCCATCAATGTCCAGATGTCTTCTGAATCTCCGGACACTAAATATAGAAAATTGTGAGTCAATGGAAGAAGTGATCACAGAAGAGGAACACCAAGGAGAAGGAATCATGACCTTATTAACTCTCAATAAATGGATACAACAGAGGTTCAATTCTCAGGTTTGTCTTGTGCCGTAGCTGTATAACTAATATTAACTCTTTCCATCTTAACTTAATAGTAATAGTAATATTCACATACTTATTTATGTTTGTCAACTTCCTTGTACAATATTTTCAATTAGAAATCACTATTCTCTGCTCCCAGGAACAATCTGAAGGTAGTGATGACGACGATCAATCTGAAGCTACCGAGTCTCGAAAGGGTGAACCATGATTTTGGTGTGATAACAACGAAGCCAAACCTAGTGATGTCTATGAATCCAAAGCTAGCTAGGAAGGTAATGAGAATTCCATGAAGTAGTCCAAGTTAGATCGAACATCACCTAATACCTACACCGTTGTTTGTTGATTTTTGAAAGAAGGGGCGGATCTTGAAGAAGCAGCACGAGTAAAATGCTTGCGATCGAGGTAACTAGTAGAGGCGGATCAATATTATAATCCGTGGATTCACTTGAACCCAACAGTTTTTGCCAAAAGACTTTGTATTTGTATCAGTAATTTCTTTAATTAGAAACTCTTTGATCATGCGGAAGGTGTAAACATCCCAAAAGATTATAATCTGATTGATTTTGATTTAAGGACAATCTTTTACATGGTATTGAAGTAGAGAAGTCCTAGTTTGGACACTCTTCTTTATTAATTACTTCTTACTTCTTTAATTAGAAATTCTTTAACAATTTCAGAAACAAAGGTTAACTACAGCGTGAAGCATTGAATTGTACTTTCCAGTAAAAGACACTGTTATCGAAAGAGTTGTTTACATTACCGGTGTATACAAGTAAAATTCTTCTGACATGTGAGATTCTATCACTTCCTTCAATTTGTGACTTCTCTTATACTAGAATTTGTTGGCTTTTGTGTGTTTGAATAATTTGCAGAAGATGTATAAACACAAGTGCCAATAGTAGAAACTAAACCACCACAAAACTACATAGTTGTTGATCAAAACAAGGACATAAAAGTGACTCTGATCATGACAGAGGAGAAGGGTAACACAAGGCCCCAATGCAATAATAATTACACGGTCAAGACAAACTAGGAACCTTGTGAAAGATATATTATTTTCCCTTTGGTTCCTCATCAAAATACTCATATTGGAAGTTCAAAAGTTTCTACTGTATTTCAATACATACAAGACTAAGTTGACAAACCATTACTATTCTGAAGGTAAGGGAAAGCTTAGCATGTCAATGTAATCAAAACGTTATACATACTGCAAAAATAAGCATGAACTGATTTAGTGTTTTTAGTTTGAAAATATAGAATATGGGAAGCAAAATGCTCATTCCTCCATGCGATTTTCCTCTGACTGCTTTTGTAACATCCGACAATTTAATAGAAAGATGAAGAAGCTTGGAATTTGAAATAGTCATTTTTTTTGGAAAAATATATGATGTTTCAAAAATCTGGAAAATTTGGCTAAGTGTGGAAATCAGTGATTTTTGGCCAACTTTGAGAAGTCATAACTTCCAGCTCACGATGAGTTAGGAGTAGTTCCAGTTATGGTTGTGAATCTTGTGGAATGATCTTTCCAATGCCGCCGAGTTTGCTCAATTCCAAGTTCGTATGAGCGAGTTATGGCCCTTTGAAAGTTGGGCAGTTAACAAGGAAATCCGTCCGGGAATCATTAAGGGCATTTTGGTCTTTTCCCTAGCTATTTCTTTTGAGGATGTATTGTTGTGTTAGGCTGATATTTGGATCATTTTGTTCCATTTTAAGAGATTGAAGGCTAGGGCTTGAGAAGAAGAAGAGAAGAAGAGGAGAAGAAGAAGAGGAACAATCGAGGAGATCAACAAGTTTCCGACAAGATCATCGTGGATTTTCGTCGGGGGTGATCCCTACCAAGGTATGTGAGCTTTTAGTGTTGGGTGATCCTTTCCCCCACACACCTAGCCCTTTTATTTATTGAGAAAGGATTGGATTCGTTGTTGAAGTTGTTGGAAT